TTTTTAACAATTGGGGTGCTTCCAAACTAATTTATTAACTTTAAAACTAATCCACTTATTATTACAATCAGAGACAAACCACTTATATTGAGATTGAAAAATTAATAAAAAAATTATCTTTTATTAAATCATCCCAATGAAATATACTTTGGTCAGTAAAAAAGAAAAATAAATTATTTTACCAACTAAACCACTGCACTATTACTACTTGGCTATCTAGCTTAGAGCTTGTTTGGTTTGATTTGTGAAAGTTTTTGTTTTTTGAGTACTATTATGAGTGATAAATTTAAATTTTTATTAGAAAGAAAATTTAAAAATTGTTTTTAAAGATAAGAAAAAATGAATGAAAATGAGTAAAAAAAAGTTTATGAAAAGTTTAAATTTAAAACTTTTAACATTTTACTGTTTGAGATTTTTTTTAAGATTTAAAAAAAAAAGTTTAAAAATATAAGTTTTTAAGAAGAAAATTTAAATTTATGAAACATAAATAATACCAAAAAATTGAAAATTCTAAAAACTCTTAGAAGTTGACTCAAACATGCCCTTAATTAGCTAATGCCCTTAATTAGCTAAAGACATGACAAGTCGGTGCAAATCAGCTAGCCCTGCAAGTTTCCCACTATATATAAAAGGGAAATGAAGAGCAAAGCAATACAGGTGACCAACTGGTACAGGGGAAGGATGAGAATCTAAAAAGGAGGGGTGGACGGAGGTCACTGGGAAGATACCAACGCATAAAACAAGACAAAACAGGTTACCAAATCACCTCCATCATAATGGATCATGATTTAACTAACATGTGACTGTTTATTTACTCAAAAAAGAGAACCAGATAACCAAGTAATTCATGTAAGTTTGGTGTATAGCACATGTTCTCTTATACAAAACAATGGCTAAAAAACTAAAAGGATTTGACATAACCATGTGCCAATGCAGCCAATCCTATAGAAATTTGAATCCCTTAAAGATCAGAGAGGTTATTTCATGTAATCAGGATATACCACGCCCTTCTCAGTAATGTGAATTTGAGTTGAACATTTGAAAGTTGAACATTTGAAAGAAGGGTGTTAAGCATTCCCGTTACATAGTAGACTTTGTTAAAGATCCATGATGGTTTCGGTAGACTTTGTTAAAGATCCATGATAGTTTTGTAGATTTTGTTAAAGATTCATGATGGTTTCATCCTTAGAGAAATTCAAACTCATCTATCTCCTCTCAAAGAATATAACTCTAAAAGAGCCACTTTGAGGGAGAAGCCAAATCACCGTATAATGTGCCATAACATAAAGAAAAGAGAGAGCTTACATTGAAACAAGCAGCATAGAGCAGCAGAATGCTAGTACAAGTATAAAAGCAGCTAAGTTTTGAGGCCTAAATGAAGTTTCAGGAGCTGCGGACGAAGCCAGAAAAGACGCAGAAGGAGCAGAGGCAGATTCAGGGCCGAAGATGGAGAAGTCGTCCGGATTTGGTGGGCTGGGGCTGGAGGGAATGGA